GAGGTGTAAACGAGCCGAATCGAGCTCGAGTATCGCTGAGCTCGACTCGACTCGAAAACTCTGAAATGCAGTTCGACTCGATTCGAAAACTCGCGAGCTTAAAATTTTTAAGCTCGACTCGAACTCAAAATCCTGAATTGAAGCTCATGAGCAGCTCGAAAAGGCTCGAAATGAAAAAAAAAAATTCTTAAACTTAACTAAATTGAAGCCTCAAACTCAAACCTTAAATACATAAAAATCTTACTGTATTTAAAAAAAATCAACACATAAATGTTAATATTATTAATAATTTATTTTTTTTTAAAATAAAATCTTAATATATTATATTTTTGAGTTGCTCACTAGCTTTTCGAGTCGAGTATCAAGTAGTTTGTTTTGGCTAGGTGTGAGATTGATTACAATTTTTATTGATTAATTATCATTACAAAATATATATTGACTGTAAACATGGAATTGAGAGGTGTAAACGAGCCGAATCGAGCTCGAGTATCGCTGAGCTCGACTCGACTCGAAAACTCTGAAATGCAGTTCGACTCGATTCGAAAACTCGCGAGCTTAAAATTTTTAAGCTCGACTCGAACTCAAAATCCTGAATTGAAGCTCGTGATCAGCTCGAAAAGGCTCGAAATGAAAAAAAAATTCTTAAACTTAACTAAATTGAAGCCTCAAACTCAAACCTTAAATACATAAAAATCTTACTGTATTTAAAAAAAAGCAACACATAAATGTTAATATTATTAATAATTTATTTTTTTTTAAAATAAAATCTTAATATATTATATTTTTGAGTTGCTCATTAGCTTTTCGAGTCGAGTATCAAGTAGTTTGTTTTGGCTCGTTAAGAATTCGAGTCGAGCACGAGCTCGACTCGAGTCCATTCGATCTGAGTATTTATCGAGTCTTGACCGAATCAATCTCGAGTAACTCGCGATCTGTCTTCTCTTATTTACAGCCCTACCCATACGGATAACCTTGAAATGCAGGGGATGCATGAATTATTGTACATGCATGGGGAACCATATGATTCAAAGCAGTCCTTCCTTAGCCAATCTTTTGTACTTCGTACTCGTTGATCTGACACCTTAGACAGACAAACATAAAATAAATGGGTAGAAAGTGAAATTAATTGGATTTTCTATTTCTGATATTTAGATTGATAATAAATTTTGGAGATCAATTCATGTATCGCATTCAAACCTCAGGCCACAATCTTTTGGTTATTGTCAACCGCAACGAAGATTGATGATGGCAGTAATAACAAAACTGTTGGGGTGAGAGAGGCTCGAACTCTCGACCTCAGGATAACTCTGATTGCTATGAGACCTACGCGCTAGCCAACTGCGCCACCACCCCTTCATAGAGGAAAGTTGATTCTGTATTTAATTATAATAATAAAAAATCCCTGAATTTAATAATTTTTTATAGCCCTTCCTCTTTGTATATCTAAGTTATGTTTTTTTATTAATTTGGGTTGAATATAGATAATATATATTTAAAGATTCTCAATCGTTTGATAATAAATTTTTATATATTTTTATATATGTGATGATTAAACTCGAGACCACGAGAGACAATAATAATTCTTTAATCACCAATGTAGGTTATATATTTATTTAAAAATAAAACAAAGAACAATTATATATTTAAATATGAATAGTAGGTTAAGGACTTCTCTAATATAATTTAAAAATTATATATATATCGTACTCATCATAGCTGGAAAAAAATTATTTTATGCCATTACATTTGTAGCTGGCATCATGTCGTTAAAATGATTGTATAAAATCAGAATTTATCGTACGCATCATATCTGAAAATTTTATCTTATAAATTATAATATTCGTTAAAATAATTATATATAAAAGAAAAAATAATTTATTTTAAAATATTTTTAAAATTAAAATGATTGTCTTACACTCAATACTTGTGCGGCAAAAGTAGCCGATTTTTCAAAAAAATCAACTTTTCCTATTTTATTTCTCTATCAGACACTCTTTCATCTTTATTTCTTGATCTAACAATCTTTGTAAGAAGGCACGGCTCATACACCACATCTTATGCTGATGTAGTATCACGTGTTGAAAGTCGCGGCTCATGCACCGCGATTTGTTAAACGTGTAAAAAATCGAGTGTTAAGTTTTTAAATATTTTTAAAATGGTGCCACATATGTAATTATTTTTTATATTTTTTAACAATTAATTTTAAAAGAATAAATTTTTTAAAATATATGAAATTTATAATTTCCTATCATCGTCATTTTGTAAAAGAAATACTAGTTATAAAACTTTTATAAAATTATTCATGTTTTAAATTACTTACCCTCAAAGTTTTTCTATGCTAGATTATATGTATTGTGTAATTTCATGCAAAAATAAAAAAAATGTTGATTTATAAAATAATTTACAAAAGAATATTTAAAGATTTTAATGTAGAAAAAAAATTCTCACACAAATAATAAATAAATAAAATTGATGTTTTTATACAAAAATCATCCTAACAAAAATTAATTACATATTAGATACTATTTTAAAAATATTTACAAAATTAACACTAATTTTTTATCGCGGCGTCACGTGACAAAAAGGCGCGGCATGTTAAATTGGAAAATAAAATTGCATGGGTGGGAAATAAAGATGGATAGGATGATTTTTTGGGAAATTCGCCCAAGAGGCAAAGGGGATGAAGAAGAAGATCATGGACTGGAATTCCACAAGATTCAACTTACTTGGATCTCGTCAACCGTAAATATAACCCAGCAAAAAGGGAAGTTACACGTCGTTGTTTTTTTTTGTTTTAGAGGGCAATGGCTCATCCATTTTATCGATTACTTTTCGGGGACACGACGTTGACGAAAGTGTTCGTTGGGGAATTGGCTTGGGAGACGCCGACACAGGAACTGCTCAGCTATTTTCAACAGTTTGGAGAGATTCTCGAAGCTGTGATCATCACTGATAAAAACACTGGCAAATCTAAATGATATGGCTTTGTAAGTTTCGTTCTTTTTTTGTTAATTCCTCTTATATACGTATAGATGTATTTATATGAATAAGATTAATGGTGGTGGTGTAGGTCACTTTTCGTGATCCTGAATCAGCAAGGCAGGCATGCGTTGATCCGAACCCTGTAATTGATGGAAGAAGAGCAAATTGTAACATTGCTTCACTTGGAAGGCCTAGACCCTCACCGCCTTATAGTGGAGTTGCAGCACCGGTGCCGCCACCACCGCCTACCGTCTTTTATCCGCCATACGGCTACCCAACTTACAGTTCTGAATATGTGTATCACCAAGTGTTTGAACCTCCTTCTCCACCAATTTTCTCAAGGAAAAAAGTTGAAGACTCTATTCAATGTTAAGCCATTGTGGCTCATCGGCTCAACAATGTTATTGAATGCTGTGGCATTGCAGGGTGTGTATAATCCACAAATTCATCAGGCACGATACTATCATCAACTGTATGAACCATCATCATCATCAATGGCCCCCCCATATTACTATGGCTATTCTTTGCAAGCTCCAAGGGGAACATTTCCTGCACCACGGCCTCAAGGACCTTCCTATCTTTACTACCCTACTCCAATGGAGGCCTCCTCCTCCTCAACCCTTTCCCTCAGGTAAATCTCTTTTAATATTATTTTTCAGTTTTGGTTTACATCTGCAATCACAATAAACACAATAAAACTTAAAATGCATCTATGATCAGTGTCTATGTTGTCCGGATTCTTCTTTTTAGAACTATAAATGTTCGACATATGGATACCGAAATGCAAAATATCAACGTAGGATACATATTCATATCCTACATTCACATCAGAGTCTGAGTAACGTAAATACGAATAAACTTTGATCGACCATGTGAATGAGCACGTGGTTTCAGTATATATATGGATGATGGTTGATTCATGGACTAATGGAAGCCCCACTAACCATGTTATGCACTGCAATTGCTTTATATGGAGAGTCCCAAATTATCATCGTCTTATATGCAATGGTCTTTGCTAGCTGTTTTGGCGTTTAAGTAAAAAACAATAACCATCTATACCTATATCATATCAGTTCTCGAAAGTAACTGAATGAATCAATTGATTTAATCCATTTGTATGTGATGCATAAGGACTTAACATGGAGGATAGGCTGGCAGATGGGTCCAGGGCCCTCTTTCTCAGTGAAAAACCACTTTCAGGACACATACTTCAACATTAATAAAGAACCATAACACCATAGCTTTAAATTGTTCTACTCATTCACAGGGATGGATCGAGTGGGTTGGAGCCGTCCTCTGAAAATTTCAAGCTCTCAATTGATTTAGATTTTTTTCTTTCTATTTCCTTTTGATAATCTATTTTCACCCCTAACATAAAATCATGCTTACGTTCATTACTGATTTTGGTCGCAGAATCACAGACTCAACAGCATACCACCACAGAAACAGAATGTGGTGCCATGACACCTGAAAGTCCGAAAATTTAAAAGGGGAAAACACTCATCCCTGCCAAAAGAAACGTTCAAAACTGTAAAATCTTGATGAGTTTATTAATGTTCTTCATTGTCCACCTTACTTCACTCTTACATTCTCGACAATTTTTAGCCATTGGTGGACACTGCAATGTCCCTCCACACACACACCCCCCCCATTGCAGGGAAAAGGAGGACTAATCAACCACCCTAGGCAGATTTCTGTCTTTTCTTATTTACTTGCCCAAGAAAAGAAAAAGGCCATTAATTCTTATATTTTTTCCCACAAGTTTTCATTCATTTATTAAGAGTTTAACATCCTTTTACGTGGTTGTATGAACAGTGAACATAAGGTGGGAATTGAATTCCTTCAACTGATAAAAGAATTGAACGATTTAGATCTCAAAATCATTCTCGTATTCTATTCCATTATCATTTTATATAAATTTTTGCAATTGCGAAATATGAGTTAAAAAGAATAAAATCAATAAGATTTCACTATCCAATTGCCAAATGAAAAATCAATAGATAAAAATGCACGTACAAATCATATAACCTAAGGCAACTTACCAAGAGCATATGAATTTCCCGACTTTGGTTTCTATGCTTTACTTGTCCGGTATGTCCCAGCCTGTGAACAAGCCTACATCTCGTCTCGGAACAGCCCCGTTGTCGATTGTCCTCCGCCATCTTATCCATTGAAACGGAGCAAATTTCTTGGTGATCAAGATATACAAACTCTGCCTTTTTTGCAGTGGCAATATGGTGCCATTAAACAATTTAGGGGACCTTCAATGAAAGCAATCGTGCTATTTGCATCCATCTATCTGATTCTGATGTATTTACATTCTGTGATACCTTCTGGCACAAACATTCCGGTAATGGATTCCCGTAAAATGATTCTTCGGAATGAAACCTATCCATGCCCTTCGTTCCTGGGACAGGGCCTTTTCTCCTCCGAGGTGATCCTTGCCTGTAAAATCCATAAAAGAAGACACAAATTAAGTTGAGTTTGAACTATAGTATTCGGACTTTGGTATTAGTGTCAATTAGTCATGTATTTGATGAGTATTCGATTTTCATGTTAAAGTTTTTTCATATATTTGGAAGGTCATATGAATATCCCATACCCTTGTTTTGGAATATCGTCATGATAATCTAGAGCTTGAATATTACATACGTTTATACTATGATAACCTACTCCTCTGCTTCCACAAGCCATGATCTTCAGCATATAATTAACTAAAACAAGAACAACATATAATTTTTTGTGGATTGCAATGATCCGATCTGAAACCTTTGTGCCTTCCTTCAATACACCTCTCCCAAATTTTTCGAGTGTACGAACAAGCCCTTTCCTAAAGGAGAGAATTTGGAAACAACTTCAGGATAATAAAAAAGATTTGAATACGAATAAAGATAAGCAACTAAAAACCAGTGGGAGTTCAAGAAAATAAATCAAGTCACCTGTCGGGAGAAACAGTTTTCCTAAGTCCCAGAAAACGACGATGCCCTTCAACTGCTTTCGCCATGTTCCCGGAGTATGATGGAATGAAGACGTCACTTTCAACAGATACAATGTAATCAAGAGCCTCCATTTGAGATGAATGGTTGGTGAATGGTTCAAGCTCCTCAACAGAAGCCAGTTTTTCCTTCAAAAACATCACACAATCTAACTCAATTTCGTCCTTATTCCGTATCATTGAACATTAATATAACCTTTTCACCGAGTTTTATATTAAGTTCCAAATGTTTAAATGTTTCCTAGATATGAGTATCATATTCTACCTTACTCAATAACATGGGATAGCGAGATCGTAGATCAGTCATATGAGTATCACCCCCATATATATCTGTCGTAACCGGTTTTCGTCCGGGCACGAAATATTATATTTGGCGGGGAAATTGATGTGAATGAATAATTTTGAAAATAATTTGTGAGTCGCCATCGGCCTTTTGGATCAGGTAGGTCGAATACCTAAAAATTATCTTTTAAAAGAGTTTTTAAGAAAACCATATTTAAAAGATGAACTAATCTGCGTTTTATAACCAAAAATTCGTTCTTTTTAATAATAAAAAGGGATTCGTGGTCGGTTACGTTTAGGGAAGGATTAGCACCCCTACAACGCCCAAAATTGGTACTTTTTAATTATAAATTGTCTCTATTATTAAAATTTAAAAATTCAAAAATATATTTAATTTATAATCCTATTATTTCAAAATTATATAAAAAATATTTATTTATTTAAAAATATCCGAAAAGAACTTCTAGGTGCCTTAAGACAGCTCTTTTCTTTGATATTGATAAATATTAATTTAAATAATATGGTTTACTTTTTAATTTTAAAATATCAGAATAGGACATCCAGTTGTATTAAGACTGTCCTTTTTCTTCAATATTAAAAATAAATATTTAAAAAAATACTATTTATTATATATTTATAAAAATATTTAATAAAATATTTAATAATATAATAAAAATACAAATACTACTAAAACAATATATTTAAAAACAATAAAATAAATGAAAACATATAAAATAAACGAAAAAATAAAATTAAAAATCTAATTCATAATTAATCTAAATTACAGGGATTAAATATGTTATTTCTTTATTTGGTGACTAAAATAAAATTATCTAAAATTTGGATATTAGAATCAAATAAATTAAAAATATAAACTAAGGATTAAAATATTATTTATTAAAATTAATGGATTAAATCTGTAATTTATCCTAAATATATTATTTTAATATGAAGGACTAAAATAAATAAAATTAAAATTCGAAGACTAAATTAAAAATATTATAAATTCAATTTACTGACTAAAATGTAAAATTTACAAATACGAAGGATTGCGGACGGGGTTTAATTATTTCATAATTACGCGCATAGTCCTTCCCGAAACGACGTCGTTCGGGAAGGACTATAAGAGTCCAAATCGGCTGGCCCGAAGGGCCAGCCATTTCATTTCTTCTTTCTTTTTTTTTCTTTCTCTCGAACAGAGAGAAGAATTCTCTGTCTTCTCTCTAAACTGAGAGAGGCTCAGCCGGCCGGCAGCCGTTAGCCGGCGTTCATCCGCCGTCAACCACCGCCGCCGGCCACCGCCGCCGGTGGCCGGAAAAAATATTTTTTATCTTAAATGTAGATCGGACCGTCCTAATGACGGTTCCGATGTTTTTTTCCGTTAAACGGCTCCCAATCGGAGCAAATCTACAATAATACCTTCGGCTTTTCGAAGTTTTGGTGAGATCCGGTGACGGTTGGGGCTCTCCGATGACAGGGTAAGCTTTTGCCTCTCTTCTCTCTTTTTTCCTTGCTGTGTTGATGCTGACTGAGATCGTTGGTATAGTTTGTTTTTTTTTTCTTTCTCTGTTTTTTTTTCTGTCTCTGTCTCTAGTTTTTGTCTCTGCTTTTTTTTTTCAGGTTCGGGTGGTGGCTTTTATAGCCACCACCGTTGTAGCTGTCGGACCGGTCCGAAGAGGGGGCCTCGGTGAGTCACCGGACTACCAGTGGTGACTCACCCCGTAGCCTTGCATGGACGGCTGGCGTTGATCTTCTGGAGTCTTCCTTCTGGACGTGGCAGCGGCGGAGGCGGCGAGAAAACTATCGGCAGCCGCGTAGAAGCTGGGGCGGCGCCGCGTGGCCCTAGGGTATCAAACCCTAGGGTTTCTCTCTGGCACCATCTGGACCGTTGGATCTTGCCAGATCCAACGGCTGTGAGCTGAGGCGGCTGGGTAAATTAGGGTTAGGAAACCCTAACTGGAAACCCAAGTATTTAGGGTTTCTGGTTGGATTTGGATCGGTTCTGGTTGGTTTGTAACTGGGCCGGTCCAGTTGTAATTGGTCTGTAATTTATTATTTATTTAATATATTTAATAATAATAATAATGATAATAATAATAATACTAATAATACTAATAATAATAATAATAATAATAATATGGATAAAAAAATTAGTATCTTCAGCTGCCCTCTTTGCTCATTCTTGTGTTAACAAGAATAGAGCAAAGATGAAAAGATAATAAATTTTTTTTATCCATTTGGCTTTACTTTGATCATAATGGATATATTGAATAAATTATTCTCTTTCTCTAGATGAGTTCTTCTTATTATGAACTTTCTGCTGGGGATGATGATGACCTCCTTTCTATGATAGAGTCATTCAAAAGGTTGAATAAGCTCTTGATGAGTTCTTCCCATTATGAACTTTCTCTAGAAAGGCTAATGCTAATCTATCTCCTTCTGTGATAGTATCAAACAAAGGTTGAACAAGCTCTTCTCATTATGAACTTCTTCTTCCTTCTTCAGATGAGTTCTTCTCATTATGAACCTTCTCTGGCAAAATAATCAAGTGATGAATTCAAACAAAAGGTTGAACAAATTCTTCTCATTATGAACTTCTTCTTCCTTCTTCAGATGAGTTCTTCTCATTCATGAACTTTCTCTGGCAATGTTGATCCATCAAATGATGAATTTAAACAAAAAGTTGAACAAGTTCTTCTCATTATGAACTTCTTCTTCCTTCTTCAGATGAGTTCTTCTCATTATGAACCTTCTCTGGCAATGTTGATCCATCAAATGATGAATTTAAACAAAAAGTTGAACAAGTTCTTCTCATTATGAACTTCTTCTTCCTTCTTCAGATGAGTTCTTCTCATTATGAACCTTCTCTGGCAATGTTGATCCATCAAATGATGAATTTAAACAAAAAGTTGAACAAGTTCTTCTCATTATGAACTTCTTCTTCCTTCTTCAGATGAGTTCTTCTCATTATGAACCTTCTCTGGCAATGTTGATCCATCAAATGATGAATTTAAACAAAAAGTTGAACAAGTTCTTCTCATTATGAACTTCTTCTTCCTTCTTCAGATGAGTTCTTCTCATTATGAACTTATCTGGCAATGAATGATCCATCAAGTGGATTTGAAATCTTTGCTAAAATCTTTGAAATTTCTGTTAACAATTCAACAAGAATAAAAATGAATGAAAATGCATCTATTTTTGCAAATGCCTAAATATGATGCATGAATATTAAGTTGTTTGATTTCAGACTGGTGAATTGAGTATTTCTTCAATTGTAAAAAACCCAATATATCTGTCTTCTTCGAATCAAAGAATCTATCATCTTTGACAAATGTAGATGTAGATATAATGTCACAGAACCTCTTGAGAATAAAACTCAATAGTATAAACTCTTGAAAAGCTTGCATTCAGGCAACATGTTGATTCTGATAACAACTCATCTGATTATGAAGTGACCTTTCAAGATGATTTCACAGATATCGATAGTTCTTTTAATACCGAGAAATCTTGAATTCTGATTCTGATGAGGAGAATAAACTCAATAGTATGACTAAGGCTGCTGATGTATTTCTTCTAGTAAAAGATAGGAAGTCATTATATAATGATCCCAATTATAAGCAAAGGCAAAACTTGGGCTATGATTTTTGAAAAGGAAGAAGCAGAAGAAACTTGAAAATAAGCTTCTTAATGAAGATGATCATGCAGTTCATCTTTCAATTCCAACGATCGGTTCTGAGGTTCCTACTGAATCAAATCAGATAACTCAAAGAACACTTCCAGAAGATGCTATTGACAAATTCATCTTCCAAATTCAATGATTGGTTCTGCCAAATCAGATCAGATAACTCAAAGAACACTTCCAGAAGATGCTATTGAGCAAATTCATCTTCCAAATTCAATGATTGGTTCTGCCAAATCAGATCAGATAACTCAAAGAACACTTCCAGAAGATGCTATTGAGCAAATTCATCTTATAAACTCAATGATTGTTCTGTCTAATCAGATCAGATAACTCAAAGAACACTTCCAGAAGATGCTATTGAGCAAATTCATCTTCTAAACTCAATGATTGTTCTGTCTAACCAGATCAGATAACTCAAAGAACACTTCCAGAAGATGCTATTGAGCAAATTCATCTTCCAAATTCAATGATTGGTTCTGCCAAATCAGATCAGATAACTCAAAGAACACTTCCAGAAGATGCTATTGAGCAAATTCATCTTCCAAATTCAATGATTGGTTCTGAGATATCACAACACTTATTTGATGTAGAGCCAGAATTTGTAGATTCGAAGTATTTCCATGCTACTACACTGAAAAGGGCTATATTCATAATTCTGCCAATTAAGAATAGATTTTCTCTTATTCTGCTTCCTCCATGTGTTGATGCTTTTCCATTGACAAAGAAATGATGGCTTTCATGGGATCCAAGAACAAAGTTGAACTGTTTATAAACATGTACATGAAGTGCCAAATTGACAGAAAGGATCTTGTAAGGTTCTTGAAGGTATGACAATGAGCCATCTTCGATTGTCCAGAAGTATGTTCTTGATGAGTGCTGAAAATGGAATCTAGTATGGGTTGGAAGGAATAAAGTTGCTTTACTTGAACCTGATGAAGTAGAAATGCTTTTAGGTTTCTCTAAAAACCATACACAAGGATCTGTATAAAGATATGTTTCCCAGTGGTATCAATGACTTGTTTCTTTTTGCTGGAATCAGTGCTGCAAAGACCATCTTCTACTGTTTTAGTATATCTTTGAAAACAGATGTGCAAGAACTGAATGGTGATCGGTTGGAGCAATTGATGAGTAGATTTGGCGGATTCGACCTTGTTGTCGGTAGCAC